TGCGTGTTGTTTAACATGTTGGATAATGGATTCAGGGCTAGGCAGAACCAGAGAGGACTCAAGCAATCGCCTTGAAAAATTCCTCGCCTAATTAATATTTCATTTGTTTGTATGGAAGTGTTACTAACCCTGAGATGCAGTGTTGTTCTCCAGTGCTGCATGGTGTTTTGGAAGAATGCAATGAGTGATGGATGTATTTTTTACATGTGTGGAACACTGCTGAACACTTTTCTGTAGTCTATATATGCCATGTGTATGTTGCTGTGTTGTTTATTTCACTGAATCTAGAGAAGACCAATAAGTTGTGAGTTCTTCTTCTGTTGGTGTATCAGTGTTTGTTTTGGTACTGATTTGTCTGTAGAAAAGTTTTTCATTGTTCGTGAATAATTTATCTCGTTGTTTTCGTAGTGTACATGTTTTGTATCGTTTGAGTCTTCGTGCTTTGGCTGCGAGTTTTTGTTTTCTCTATTCTGTAATGTGTGTGTTTTGATTTTCTTGAAAATGTTTTTGAGTTGTTTCATTAATTTGGGTGTTATGTTGTTTTTAGTTTATTGTGTCAGCCTGCCTAATTGCTGTCTAATGTCATTTATTTGTGTTTCTATTCTTCTCTGCCAGGCAGGCTTGTGATAGAATTGTTTTGTGTGTGTCTGTCTGCGATTGTATTTTCAGACCATGGTGTGTTACTACTGTGACTGCCCCAGCATAAACTAATGTATGGATGTCTGAGAGTGTAGAAATTGAATGAATGTAGTTTGGTAGTAAGTATTTACATAATTTAATGTTTTTCCTACTTCCTTTGACGTGTTTATTTTTGGTATTCGTGGTCTTTGTGTGGGATCTGTACCAGTATATTTAATGAGTGTTTCCTGAAATATAAGTGAGAGCGTATTAACTAATTCTATGTCCATGTTATCAGTGATGGACGAGGAAGTGCCTGTAGTATCATTAGTGGTAGTTGTTGTATGTGTGCTATTATCAATGCTTGTTGCTGGATTATACTGACAGGCTACGTGATCTTCATTAATAATGTTAAATGTTTCTGTCTGTTGATGTATTTGATCAGCAACCTGTTGTTTGTGGGATAAGGTTGTTGTGTATAATTGTTCTTTTTTGATCGACAACCCTTTGTTTGGTGACAGTGACATGAGGATATTGTTGTGTGAATCTATGGTGTAATTTTTGTCTGTACGCTGTCATGTTTGTTTCGAGTTTTGTGATGGTGTAGTAAGTATGGATGATAAACTCGTTCATTTCTGATGTCCATTTCATCCGTTGGCGTGGTTTTCCAGCCTTTGTGGTCTGTGGATGCATTGCCACAAAAACACTAAGGCTAGGTTGGTTTTATTATTATAGCCTCTTCTAGCCCATTAATTTGGCTTTGGTTGCTTTAAACACATATATATATATATAAAATTTAATACTGTCCAATAAAACAACTCTTACATCAAAATTGCAATTGCTAAAATATGCCATAGGTTGAGAGACATGACAGTTACATATTGCACTATTGAAAAAATATTTTTTGGATAAAGCTGAATAAGAAGTCTTACATGACCTCTGTACTTTTATATCTGCATTTTAATATTAAAAAATAAGAACTAGGAAATTAATCTATAATATAGTACTGAAAAGGATACAAATATGCTAATATCAATTCAAATAAATGTTTAAGAATTGTGAGTGAGAATTGTACCGATATGAAGGATTCTTATAAAATTCAAACGATACAATTATTAAAAGAATACAATATAATTTTATTCTTTTCCAACCCATAGGCAAATACAATCTGCCAGACAGACAAGTGTGATTGGTTAAATTACAAATTTGTGACTCAATCACCCATATTTCCATTTTTTAGACCCTGATATGAGCTGTACAGGGGTCATAATTCTTACATTTTTTTTTTGTATATCTCTGCAGTTAGCACTGTTGGCATGAAGGCACCAAATTGCATGACTTCACAGCAGTCTATTCCAATCACTGTATTGGAATGTCTGAACTGCCACCCGTGGCAGAATGTTTCGCTCGATGAAATTGAAAGTCTATAGGTCTTTAATTTTGGTTTTTGATCAACTGTATAAATATTGGAGGACAGCACAAATTTTGATCCGACTATTTGTACAGTCAGAAAAAAAACGATCATACTAAGATATGTTAGTAGTAACAATATAAAATTACGCTTAATTCGTAATCGTTCTCGAGACGACGACTAAGTGCATTCCAAACGTCAAAACTTCTCTAAAAAAAGACAGAAGAGCAATAACTGAATGAAGCTGTACAACTGTTTGGTGGGCATGAGGATGACTTTTTTCTTATTAACTTACACACTGATTTAATATGAAGATGTATAGAATCATTCACTATAATAAAACTTATTTGACGTGTGAGAGAACGATTACAATTACATGTACATAAAATTCTACCAAAATACTATATTGCTTTGGCATGAGCTGCCTTTGTAAGTACCGACAACATTTGCAAACAGTTATAAAACAAATAAGTTCTTTTATATTTGTGACAACAGTATAATCGATTTTATCAATGTACATAATTTTTTTTAACAATAATATACATTAAAACAATAAGAATTTATTAAAAATCTATCAAAAACTTATTGTAAATTATTACATCTTTACAATTATTTCCATTGATTTTTTTTTTATCAGACATATACATATTTATCAAATTACATGAATGACAAACCATGTCAATAAAATTCATATACGTCTGAAGCAACTAACAATCAACACAATGAAGTACTGATTTTCATTGTCGGCGGGAATGTGTGCAGGATCCATTTTTAACAAGTGCCAACGTACAATTTCAATTGGCAAATGGATCTCTGGAATGAAACGTGGAATGTTTTAGCGAGTTTCGTAATTCCAGTTATACATATCTTGTGTTTGATTCTGTAAGGACATCTGTTGGCCTCGAGGCGAACTCTGGCTAATGGGCCCGTTTGCAAGAGGAGACAGTACGGGATTAAGTACAGTGGGAACAATGGGAGTGGCTGGACTTGTTTGATCAGCTAAACAATATGTATGTATAAGTGGAATTTTTAGGAATAGAATAATCTTAAAATTGATACTCACACATATTTGTAGGTATTTTGTTGCCTCTTTTAACCAATAAACGAACCATATTTCCACCTTGGCGTATTAATTCAATAGCTTCAGCATGAGTCATATTCTTTGTACTAATACCATTAATTTCTATTATCTGATCACCAACCTGTGATTAATCAAAAAAGATTACTTACTTCAAACTATTGTATCCTTATTGTAAATTTCTATTATGCTACATTACAGATCTAACCTGCAAGCGATTATCATGATGAGCGGGACCATTTTCTGCTATCCTTAATACAAAGAGTGGCATATTTTGGAATTCTTTTCCACCTCTGATGCTGAAACCAAAACCTCTTGTGCTCCTGTGGAGTTCGACAGCAAAGTATTGGCCTGTGTCTTGCTCTCCTGCCTGTTCTTCCCCCTAAATTTTTTAAAAAAGGATTACAAACAATGTATCAAAAGTATTCCAGATTTTCATAAAGAACATTTCCAATCACATACAGTGAAACATGCATTTTACTGGTATATAGGTATAAAATTGGATAAGTTTATACTTTATATGCAGAAAGTTATAACTATTATTCTATGAAATCTCAAACTGAAAAATGATTAGTTGCATATACTGATAATTTAGAATTTCAAACCTCTGAAGATTTAAATGATATATTTGGTCATATATAATTAGACTATGAAAATAGAAAAAAAATCAAAAGTAAGACATGCCCAATGTTATTACATGTTATAAATACCTATATAGCAGTAGCTGATATTAGTAGAAAAATTACCATACATCATTTATTATTATAGACAACCATTCTAAATTATGTGAACATTAGACAACTCATAAAAATGAAGAGAGAGAAAAGTTTATTAATTCCACAGACCTGGAATCAAGGTTAAGATAAGAAGTAGAAAGTTCTCTATCACCAAGTACAGGCACAGCAGTGGCATGAAGAAGAGGTGTGCTAAAACTCTGTAGAATAAGAACTGTTTCAGTTATAATTAAATTTTACAACAAAAGGCAATGACTAAAATTTCCAACCAAAAAAAATATTTTCTTCTTTCACATGACAGACTATTACTTCAAAAAATTTTCATTGCAATTTAAAATATTTATCGAAATAATAATCATTTCTTGCATTTTAAAAAATTTTACAACTAAATTTGAAATGTCTGTTCCCCGTTTGGATAACATGTATGGAAACACACCATCCACAAATGTACACGTCCCTGGTCTATAACGTTCAATCCAAAAAGTACAGTATATGACTTTTTGTCATATAAGAAACTATTAAATTTATGAAAATATCTAATAATTTTATTCTTCTCTAAACACAATTTTTTATACTTTCAAATTTTACTATTCTAAAAAGTTTTGATGATTCAAATATCTAGCTTTTGTTTTTTCAAAAGAAATGTGATTTTTACTTTCCCAGCTCTGTCGTACATAACAGAGGGAAAGTATGAACCAAAAAATGACCCCCTCCCCCTCAGATTTTTACATTTTTGGACTTGGAACCTTGAAATGTCAAGAAATACAGAACAAACCCTGAAGTTTTTTGTATGTATGGATGGATGTTAGTGTGTATGCGTGGGACACGATTTTGTTTACCCTGTTTGAAGCTTAATAGCTTCTGGACTTCAAAGTAAACAACATATCATCATCATAAAAACTTTTGTCCAATATCTGTCAACCTTCACACCTGGAAGTATATCTTCCTTTGCTAATACAGTAATGAATAAAACATCATTATTTATAATTTTTTACAAACCCTATCCCTATCTTCAAAATTAAGCTTTTTGCCATTTTATAATAATAAAAAAACTTATATTTTAATTAAAAATATAAAAACAGATGGCACCACCAAATTTTTGCTGGGAAATTAAGCAACTCATTGCTGGATTTCAATAATGAAAATATCCCAAAACATTATAGTACTGTATAAGTCTAGATAGAAATAAGAAAATAGATCTTTACAGTACTATGATTGCATTTTCAAATATTAAAAATGCAATAATTAAATCAGTTACCAGATTACCTGTGCTATGGCCAAATACTAATTGAATAAGTTTTCTATATCTAAAAACAGACTTAAAGAGCTATATACCAGAACTGACTGAATGACACAAGACATCAAGATCTTGATTGTAAGTACAGTTTATAAAATAATCATGGGAAGAAAAATTCTAATTTTCAATTAAATATTTGCAAAGTATAGTTACTTTTGGCAAATATATTGAACAAACAGTTTAATAATATGAAATAAACAAAATGGATATGAAAAATATAGCTAAATCAATTTTTCTTAATAAATACAATAACTAATCAACAAAGACTAACTTTTAATCTAAATTAAATGAAATTGTAAAATACTAACCAACTAGTTAAATGTTTCTGTAAAGGGATAAATAAATAAATTGTCATATATATGCACCTTACTAATATTAAAAATACAGTATTTATTGATACAATCTACAAATTTATATCTTAGTTTTCATATTTTGAATTCACTAGTTATCAAATACATTTAATTTTGAAATTCATTGAAAGTTTTTAGCACAACTACAAAAAATTACTCACTCTTTGGGATGTTGAAGCCGTACTTGAGGTATCATCTGAAAAATATTAATTATTATTATTTTTAATTACAACTATCCTTAAATATCTCTATTCTGAGTTACCTTGAGGAGGTCCAACTGTTAAACAGACCGAATACCCAGAATCTTTGATTAAATTGACTATTTCACCGTGGTGCATGTTTAAAATACTTATTCCGTTTACGGCTAATATGCGATCGCCCACGTGAAGCATTCCGCATTGTTCGGCAGGACTGTTTTCGATAATTCTTCCTACACGTAAACGGTGAATTAAAAATGAATGACAGCAAATTATTTTATGACATTTTAAGAGACGTTAATTTAATTTTCCTACCTATGGTGGAACCGGCTCTACAGACAGAAGAAATTATGACGAAACCAAAGCCTTCGTTTTCTTTTCTTGTAACAGTGACGTCGTACGGATAAANCGTGAAGAAAATCTGGAACAGTCAATGTGGCCAGTCTGTTGGTTAGATGCAAAACCAGTGTTTCACTTGACTGCTTGTAAGACCATCTTCTAAAGGGAAAAATTTTAAATAAAAATGAAATTGCCTCGACACAGATGTAAAATTTATCTGTGCATTTGGTAAATCACAGTATGGTAATAAATAATTTTAACAGCATGACCACAACATTTATATTTATTTATTTATTATTTTTTTCATTTTTAACTCCAGGTGATCTTTCCCTAAAAGGTAGTAGAGCTTATGTCAAATACTTGTGCAAACCAAATAATTGAGAAAAATTATGGAAACTTTATCTTTATGCAGTAATGGAATTCCATATTTTATTTCATAATCTTTCCAGGCATTTCGTCTAATCCATCTTTCACACATTACAGGCATGTAAAAAATACATGCCTGTAATGTGTGCTAACAAATCTTTCATCAAAATGCAAATCACACACATCGTCATCTTACTTCTTTATTTTTAGTTAGAATAGCTCTAATCCATTTTTCCAAATAACTTTTTGTTTTACTTTAAATAAACATGTCATCTTGACTTTTGTACCCAGTTTTATAGCCAGTAACAAAGCACACATTTGGTATTTAAATTTTTACTTTTATCACTTTTAGAATACAAAAGACTAGAAAAATGCTAAGTTATCATAAAATATAATACTGTAATAATTTGGATGAAAGCAGATTCTATAATGACTAAAATCATGCAAAATCCATACATCCAAATTAATATTGCTTGTTTGGACAGCTGAGTTTGCTGACAGTACCCTCTACATGAGCAGTCAACCATCTCAATATCAAGGATGCCCTTCCTTGTCCTAACTGGGGGATTCAATTGGTTGCCTCCAATTACTAGCTAGCCCTATTAACAGACAGCCAAGAAGTTGTGGGGGGGGAAGAAGTGTAATGTTCCAACCGTGTGTTATAGTTAAAATTAAGTAAAATTAATTATAAGATTAATTCAGACAAGAAAAATGTCTGTTGGCAAATCAGACCAGAGGTCACGCAAGACAAAGACAAGAAAAAAAAACAGTAAATTTCAAAACAAACGCAATGCAAAGATGAATCGTGACAGATCATAATGGAATGCTGACCCAGAGAGACAGAACTTTGACAGGACGCTCGTATACATGTGGATGAAGTTAGGAAATTGGGAAAAGGGGAAAGGTTAACGATCAGGGGAACATTGTGTTAGATTGTTTGAATTCTAAAATGTCAGAGAAGAGACAATAAGGAAGTAAAATACAAGTGCTGGTTTCAAAGTTCCATCAACACCTCCCAGTCAGAGTTGACGGATGGTATCGGGTAGATGCTCAAAAGTGAACCTTTCTCATGACCCAAACAGGTCTCATTTTTCACCTGGAGACAGGAGAATGACCAATTGGTGAGCAAGATGAGAGACGTTGGGCCAATCAAAAAAGAAAATGGAGAGGGAAAAACATATAAAAACCCCAGAATCCAAGGTCAAGAGGCAGTTTTACGTCAATTGTGTGCTGCAAGTAGGACCTGCGTCACCCAGCATGAGTCGGAGATACCATACAGATCAACTTGTGCCTTCTAAATTCCCACTGGACACCACAGAGTCACTGCCCTGGAACTCACCATCTGCTGCAAAGGACTTTAGCTACTGCCAATTGTCACAAATGTTTCCTGTCCCAAAAATGAATTGAATTTGATCTTATGTAAGTTATCTTACAATCCAATAAACAGGTTACTGTAAGACACTTGTTATCCTTGTCTCCTCCTCCACCACCACCCACACTTACAAACATCCCTTAGATTCATCCTGATGCGAAATTAATTGACTCCCCTAGAAGTCAGCAAACTTACAGAAGTCGATCAATGCATTCATAGTGGCATTAAATGAGAAGAAATCATCTATCAGCAACTTTCTGTGCATCTATTATTCTAAAATCTTTCCCCTCTCAAACTTCTAGCCTTTGCCAGATCAGCAGTAAAGAAAATGACTTAATTGTTGAGATTTATATTTAGTCTTGACTACTTTTGTGAACAACCAAACTGCAGACCTCATACTATATACTTTCATGTGATGATTCTTATCAATAACTAAATTTTTTATGACTTTTCCACTTAAGAGTTTTAACTGTATTATTTATATGTTTTTATATAAAATTCGTATGATTTAAATTTGTTCTATATGAAGATATTTAAAAATAAAATTTGATATAACGTAACTTACCAAAACTTCTTGATAAATTTGGAAATAATAATGATTGTGAAACACTTCCATTGCCTTTATTGGAACCATCGGATGATTTCATCTACAAAAACATGCATAGTTTAAAATCAAAATGTGCATAAATTAATGAATTATAATCATAACTTATGAGTGTCAAAAGTATTTAAATATTTATATTATTAGGAGTGTTAAAACAACAAAAAGAGTTTTTTATATTTTAAATTTGTTTTCATAATTTTGTTTTAGGAATATGATTTCATTTCTTGTGTACAAAAATATAAAAATACACATGACTTTAATTCCTGTAAGACAATGTTCAGAAATTTCATGTGAAGAAAGTGATCACTTACAAAAGATAAGCGCAATTCGAATAATTTTTGTTTACTTCTAATGTAAATTTAAATTGTCACAAGGAGAAAATCTTAGTAGTTTTTCAATGCTGTACCACAAGAAAATAAAAAGTTATTATTATTTGTTTTGTGTATATTTAAATTTAGTGTGTCTATAAGTTATCATTTAAAATATTTTACAATACTGTGTGACATCAAACTAAAATCAAAAATTTAAATTATACAATATCATCATATTATCAATAATAAAAATATTCTGTATTTTCATTTCATAAGTAAGTAAAAAACAGCTTGCTTTATCATTGAGAAATACAAACTTGGCTCGTTTTTGTTTGTTAACTTCTAATGTTAAGGAAATTTTTTTTAAAAATCAAGTAATTTTGTTTAAATTGCTTACAAAATTTAAAAGTCATTTTCATTATTTTAATTTACTACTGAAAAATATTTTAATATATCTTTAAACGAACCTTTGCAAGTCTGCCTTTTCCACGTACCGGTGACAAGAGTCCACCTCTCTGAACAGTAATATGAGCACCATCTCCACAAGGACAATCTTTCAAAACTTGAACAACGTCGGCATGTGGCAGTCCTCTCACTTCTTGTCCGTTTATATCCATTAAAATATCACCTTCTTGTAGTAATTTACAGCGAGGACGATCTAAAATCTTTTTTACCTGAAAGAGTTTAATTTTATAACAATCTTTATACTTTCAATAATTTAAAAATAAAACTGTCAATTAATTTACTTTTTGTCCGTAAGCACTATCAGCAATAGTAAAACCAAATCCTGAAGCTCCTTTAACTATCTCTACAGTCAAATATTCAGGTTTATTTGGACTCTGTGAACTGAAGTCCAGAATGTCGGGGGTATTTTCAGCATTGCTATTACTAAGTAAGTCAGCACTATTATGCCTCTGAGGGTGAGAGTGATCATTCAGTCCACTACTTAAATCTGGCATTGATTTTGCAGATCTTGCCACAGAATCTACAGGATCAGTTCCAATGTTACCCCCATGAGAATTGTTTCCACTAGAGAAAACACTGGAAAATTCAGACGTCCTTGCGTTTGCCATCGTAACAGCCACGGTCGTAACTATTTCTGTATTTGGATCATTAGGATCAAACGGTAAAGGATATCCTCTACAAACTTGCAAGTTAACAGTTTCTCCAGGAGGAATAGATTGAAACAAGGATACCATATTTTGATGAGTATAACCAAGAACACATATATCATTAACATATACCAATACATCACCTATATAAAATAAGCATTTGAAAACAATTACAAAACATTTTAATTATATATTTTGCTAACTTTAAAATCTGATTCGTTGATACCTGTTTGTAATTTTTTGTTTGACCACGCAGGTCCATTCGGTACTACACTCTTAATTTGTAAAAACTCTTCTACTTCACCACTATCACCTCCAACAATTGTAAACCCTAAACCTCTTGGACTCTTAACGAGCGAAGTCTGAATAAATTCCCCCTTCAGTTCTGATGGATTGCGTGTAAAAACATATGGAGTCCTATGAGAAGGATCTAAAATAAAACAATGCGATAATTATTTAAACTTAATATTAACTGCATTAAATATAAATTTATACTTATCAAAAAAAATTATTCATTTTAACAAACACTCAAAAAATATTATTTAAACAGTAATTATATTTTAAATCTATTGCAATATGTAACAATTAAGGCACCAATAAATAAAATAAACTTTTAACCATTAAAAAAACTCTTAATTATTAAAATGTTCAAGGCTAGTAACTTTGTTATAATATTTTCTTCACCTTCAAAATATTCATTCACTCATTCTGCTTACATTGTTAACAGTAATTATTTTTATAGATTTTATCTCCGTTTACCATTCGTAATTTTGTGGTTCCAACTCAACGTTCTGTTTAAGCAGCAATTCATTTCGGTGCTTCTCAATTCAACATTATCCTAAATCAATGCTCATGTTCTGTAACAATCCCATTTAGTTCCAAAATATTAAATTGGCTTTTATAATTGGGCTGCAATTTCAAAAAAAATTGTAGAACTATGAATTCCCACTGTCGTCTGTCCATCTATCCTTCCTTAATCTCAAGAACAGAGTTAGGAAGATGAAAATCGAGACCAGATACAGAAAGCTTAGAGGCAGGAGGCCCCGCTGTTTTGATTGAAAAATTTCCCCAGAAAGGAATTAGATAGATGACCAGCACGACTCTATTTCTGTCACGAAAAGTATGATGTACAGGGGCAAGAAACTACTAATTTGAAGTGGAGCGCATATAATTTAAAAATATGATTAAAAATTGCAGCCCAGCATCATGAAAATTTCACAATAAAATAAATTAAAATTTATCTTTAAATTTACTTTATTATATTTCTTATAAATGTGTTAATTTCTTCCTAATGTCAATTGAAATATAACATAAGTCTATTACTTTGAGAACATAAATTATGTTTACATTGTTTTAACGTAAACTCTATTTTACGTATAGAAACTAAATTTTTAATGTTTCTCTCTTATTACTTTATTAATAAGTAACAATCAGTCAATACCTTGCACAAAAGATAAAGTGCAATTTTCATTTGTAAAAAATATTTATCCAAAAAGTGAATGATATGGAAAAAAATTAAATCAAAATTTAATGAGGTTAGTAATTATTAGTATCTATTGCTGACGATTATTGAGTTAACTGTCAATGAAGTTGTTTTTTTTTTTCTTTGACATGTCAAAATTCCTTTTAAAACCTGATACATATTTCTCAGCTGTACGTTTTTTACAATTATATGTTGAATATTCTCTGCACATTTTCCATTATAAAACACTTCATTTATACATTCTTCATTTATACGATTTTGCACTTATTTTTCATATTCATGTAGTCATATTCTTCAGTACCCTACAGCACTTTTTTCATTTATGTGTTATTAACTTTAAAATGGAAAAATTTAAAGTGATTATAAAAAATAGTAAAAAAACAAATTACATATTCACTTCGGGTTAGTCCACTCCGACAGTGAATCATCAAAAAAAAAAATGAAAAGAATAAGAGTAAATAATACATAACATGTGGCATTGTTTCTGAAAAATTTTCCCATTCATTAAATCACTCTAGAAGTCCAACACATTCAAAGCTTTTGCTTTTCATATTTTATAGTGTAAACCAATTTAATAATTATATTTAATTTAATTTCTTCCTTTGGAGAAGCATAAGGCTT